CACTTCACTGTAGGCCAGACCACTTAAATTGGTGTTTAGTATATATAGTGAGACAATTAATATATTTATAGAATACATATTTTGTATGATTATATTATTCATAAATTATAAGCAATTGCATATTATTACAATGTCTGTGAATTTTATGAACATATTTGTCAAGTCTTTCAACTGTAGAGAAGACCTAATTTTGAGTTTTTTTGAATAAATATTTGTTCTGTATTTATGTATATAACTAATAATTGATTGATTTTTTGGACATTATTTTTAGTATCCTATTGATTGAACTGTATAAACATACTAGGAATGTATGCACTTTACGTATTCACAGGCAAATTGTAACTTTGTCTATTGTATAGTAATTTTATTGTGTTGTAATTTTAGATATAATTGTTTGCATATTTCCTTTACATTAAGTTTAATATGAATTAAGATACAGTATTAATACAGTATTAAATTATCATTTAAACTAGATGTGGAAATTTGTTGCAACTTAATGTTAACGATTAATTAAAAGTAATGTGTTATTATAGTAGATAACTTAAGGTGTGATACATTTCTGTTTTTTGTGTAAATTATTTAAAAAATGCAAATAACATTTTCAAAATATATCAAACATATAAATAAAATATTTGTGTCAGTATTTTCTATTATGAATGATTAACAACTTTTGATTTCTATGAATCTATTGATAGTACTGTATATTTCGTAATATTGTTGATTATATAATACTATTAATGTAAATAACTTATAAATTGAGCCAAAGTTAATAACATATAAAAAATATTCAAATTAATTATTCAGTTATTTACACAGACTATGATTATCTATATATTAGCTCTAAATAATTAATTATATAAAGTGTTAGTCATTTTTCATTACTATCAATCTTCATATAATTAGATATAAATTATTAATTAATTAAATATAATATTTAGTAATTCATACGAAAGTTTGAATAAATCAGATAAAAATATTTTATTTGAAAATTGCAATTGAATTTATTTGTAAAATCTAATCAAAAATATTTGTACTTCATATCATATTTAGATCCCAATACAATAAAACATTTATATTTAAATGTCACTATTAAAAATATATGTTTAATTTATAAGTTTGATAACATATCTTTAAATTGAGATTCAAATGTTATAGTTTTGAGCAAATTTACTAAAATATAATAACATTTCTGATAACATTGTCGCTATTTTTTAATGATTCAAATGCTTCGTTGATTTGATTCAAACTAATTCTTTTGGAAACAAATTTATTCACTAAACGCCTAAAATTATTGTCATGTTTATATTTCTCGGTCAACATCCGGACCCCATCCTTGCCCTTATAATTGCCAAATAGACCACCAGTTAAGGTTAGGCCATCTAAGAGTCTCATTAATGGTAGAGCATATGTATGCTGCGGTTGGAGTAGCCCTACGGCCACGAATGTACCCGACGGTGACAATGATTTGATAGCCGACTCAATCACCGATTGGTTTCCAATGCAATCAAATGTATAGTCCACTCCTTCTTCTGTTAATTATTAGGAAATCATTTAATTTAATATAATAGTGAAAATCAATAACTAATAAAGTGATTAATACTGTATACAGTAGTAAATACGATAAGTAAAAACAATGTATTACTGAATATATTTCTAATGATAGCTTCTGTCGGTTCAGTCGCCTCTTTAGAGTTAATGAATTGATTGCAACCAAACTGTTTGGCCGTATCGTACTTTTCGCTGTTTATATCGATACCAATGATAACGTTGGCCCCCATTTGCTTACACCCGAGCACGACAGCCATACCGACAGCTCCCAACCCCCACACCGCACACGTACTGCCGGCGTGCACTTCGGCCACATTGGCCGCCGCACCGAAACCAGTCGGCAGTGAACAACCAAACAGACTCATCACATCCAGGGGTAGGCTTTTGTCTATCTTAACCACCATTGACTGTTTGGCGATACAGTACTCGACATAAGTGGCCAGGTTGCAATTGGTCGATGGGGTCAATACCGGCTCATTGGTTTGTCGCAAATGAAAACGACTCGCACCGTCGGCAGGTATCCAACCCTCCTCACTGTCACCTTATTGGACAATTGGACAGTCATACCATATAATTAGAAAATTTAATTTAAAAATGATTTGTAATTATTGATTACAAAAATCTAAATAAAAGAATTTCGTTAAATGTATGTAATTCTGATTCCATAATGACATTAACTAGGTTAACCAGGTATAAATTATAACTTATATTTTCTTTATATCTAATTATTATTTATTTATTTATAATAAAAACAATATTTTACAGCTGAGTTAATTATAAATTTTATTTTAAGGTCATTCAAATAATGAATAATTAATATTGTATTAAACATTTTATAAACTAATAATAAGTGAAAGTTTAATGAATTAATATGTATCTAATATTATTTGGTATTTTAAAATTAAGTTTATAGTTATTAGTAATAACTTATTACTTATGCCCTAATATATAAAANAATTGTAACTTTGTCTATTGTATAGTAATTTTATTGTGTTGTAATTTTAGATATAATTGTTTGCATATTTCCTTTACATTAAGTTTAATATGAATTAAGATACAGTATTAATACAGTATTAAATTATCATTTAAACTAGATGTGGAAATTTGTTGCAACTTAATGTTAACGATTAATTAAAAGTAATGTGTTATTATAGTAGATAACTTAAGGTGTGATACATTTCTGTTTTTTGTGTAAATTATTTAAAAAATGCAAATAACATTTTCAAAATATATCAAACATATAAATAAAATATTTGTGTCAGTATTTTCTATTATGAATGATTAACAACTTTTGATTTCTATGAATCTATTGATAGTACTGTATATTTCGTAATATTGTTGATTATATAATACTATTAATGTAAATAACTTATAAATTGAGCCAAAGTTACTAACATATAAAAAATATCCAAATTAATTATTCAGTTATTTGCACAGACTATGATTATCTATATATTAGCTCTAAATAATTAATTATATAAAGTGTTAGTCATTTTTCATTACTATCAATCTTCATATAATTAGATATAAATTATTAATTAATTAAATATAAAATTTAGTAATTCATACGAAAGTTTTAATAAATCAGATAAAAATATTTTATTTGAAAATTGCAATTGAATTTATTTCTAAAATCTAATCAAAAATATTTGTACTTCATATCATATTTAGATCCCAATACAATAAAACATTTATATTTAAATGTCACTATTAAAAATATATGTTTAATTTATAAGTTTGATAACATATCTTTAAATTGAGATTCAAATGTTATAGTTTTGAGCAAATTTACTAAAATATAATAACATTTCTGATAACATTGTCGCTATTTTTTAATGAATTAAATGCTTCGTTGATTTGATTCAAACTAATTCTTTTGGAAACAAATTTATTCACTAAACGCCTAAAATTATTGTCATTTTTATATTTCTCGGTCAACATCCGGACCCCATCCTTGCCCTTATAATTGCCAAATAGACCACCAGTTAAGGTTAAGCCATCTAAGAGTCTCATTAATGGTAGAGCATATGTATGCTGCGGTTGGAGTAGCCCTACGGCCACGAATGTACCCGACGGTGACAATGATTTGATAGCCGACTCAATCACCGATTGGTTTCCAATGCAATCAAATGTATAGTCCACTCCTTCTTCTGTTAATTATTAGGAAATCATTTAATTTAATATAATAGTGAAAATCAATAACTAATAAAGTGATTAATACTGTATACAGTAGTAAATACGATAAGTAAAAACAATGTATTACTGAATATATTTCTAATGATAGCTTCTGTCGGTTCAGTCGCCTCTTTAGAGTTAATGAATTGATTGCAACCAAACTGTTTGGCCGTATCGTACTTTTCGCTGTTTATATCGATACCAATGATAACGTTGGCTCCCATTTGCTTACACCCGAGCACGACAGCCATACCGACAGCTCCCAACCCCCACACCGCACACGTACTGCCGGCGTGCACTTCGGCCACATTGGCCGCCGCACCGAAACCAGTCGGCAGTGAACAACCAAACAGACTCATCACATCCAGGGGTAGGCTTTTGTCTATCTTAACCACCATTGACTGTTTGGCGATACAGTACTCGACATAAGTGGCCGGTGTTGTCGAGTCGGTGGGCGCCGATGTGACTGATGTTGAAGTGGGCGATCACGTGGTGCTGCTTTGGTTACCGCAATGTAATCGGTGTATTAAATGTCAAAATCCAACCACTAATACCTGTGTTGTTGCTCTCAGTAGAGGTATTGTATAATAAGTTATATAAAGTTATATAAGTTATATATTATATTTGATTGTATTTTTACTCAATTATATCTAAAATATTGGAAATTATTTTCTTATAAAATAATCAAATATATTCTGGCCTTAACATAAAAATTGATTGCAAATCAATTGTTGACAAATACTGTATAATAACTGTGTGTTTGGCACTAATTTAGCACTTAAAATGAATTTGTGATCAAAAAATGTGTTATTTAATGACAAAGCCTTGAAATATAATATAATTGAAAACATCTATTATTAAAATAAATAATAATTATTAAATAATGATAATTAATTGCTTATTAATTATTTTTATATATTAGGGCATAAGTAATAAGTTATTACTAATAACTATAAACTTAATTTTAAAATACCAAATAATATTAGATACATATTAATTCATTAAACTTTCACTTATTATTAGTTTATAAAATGTTTAATACAATATTAATTATTCATTATTTGAATGACCTTAAAATAAAATTTATAATTAACTCAGCTGTAAAATATTGTTTTTATTATAAATAAATAAATAATAATTAGATATAAAGAAAATATAAGTTATAATTTATACCTGGTTAACCTAGTTAATGTCATTATGGAATCAGAATTACATACATTTAACGAAATTCTTTTATTTAGATTTTTGTAATCAATAATTACAAATCATTTTTAAATTAAATTTTCTAATTATATGGTATGACTGTCCAATTGTCCAATAAGGTGACAGTGAGGAGGGTTGGATACCTGCCGACGGTGCGAGTCGTTTTCATTTGCGACAAACCAATGAGCCGGTATTGACCCCATCGACCAATTGCAACCTGGCCACTTATGTCGAGTACTGTATCGCCAAACAGTCAATGGTGGTTAAGATAGACAAAAGCCTACCCCTGGATGTGATGAGTCTGTTTGGTTGTTCACTGCCGACTGGTTTCGGTGCGGCGGCCAATGTGGCCGAAGTGCACGCCGGCAGTACGTGTGCGGTGTGGGGGTTGGGAGCTGTCGGTATGGCTGTCGTGCTCGGGTGTAAGCAAATGGGAG